TTTATCCACCGGGTTCCTATGGCTCAGCATTGGCAGCAGCCGCCTGGTACCGGTAGGCTGTGCCGCATGACCCGAGAGTGAAGCGGCACAGTCTACCCACGCCGTTTGACATCGGCTCGGGTCGCCGGGTGGAGCGGCTGTCGCGTCCGACCAGCGCGGGGGGAGGGGCTCGTCTCGGTGGCTGGCGTGGGCTGGCGAGTGGTGTGGGGCGTGTTGGTGGACCATGGGGGCTGGGCGGGTGTGTGTGGTCACTTGCTGCATTGCACATTTTGCGTCGCTTAACAATTGCATTCCTGTTTTTGCTAAGCACAATGCACGGAAGACCCAGCGAATATAATTTACTTGTGCATTGTGCAAAACGTGATTTGGCACGGTATTGAGGCAACATAGGTCTTGTGCCACATAAATGCATTTTAGGCAATACGCTTATGAAAATGGTAGATTGATCGGATTGCTCCTGGATGTCAATTCGTATGCTAAATGTCCAGATGTATTAAATGAACGAATGAATGACTCAATCAATCAATCGACAATCGACATGTAAATATAAAACCGTATAAATGGCTCGCAACCACTAAAATCAAACCAGATCCTAACTCGGAAAAGTAGCCGGAGCCCCGATGAGGCTCGAACCGGGACTCCACGTTGGAAGTTTTGCCAATGATCCATCATCATTCCACCAAGCTAGAGCGACCGGCACCCGAAACCACAAAAACATTCATTGACTTTGCTGCCGACCTCCCGGCCCCGCCGCCCGGCCGGCCAGACTTTGCCCCGGCCGTGGCTACCATCCGGTGTAGCTCAGCGTAGGAGTGCTAGACTGTTGAACTGACCGGTTGTGATAGGCCCGGTTCAAGACGCTTCGCGTGCTGGATGTTTATTTCTGTGTCCGAGGCTATGCGATTAGTCCACTTTTCAGAAAGATTATTTGGTGACAGGTCTGTTTTCTTTCTTTGCTGCAATTCATGAGAAGACCGTATGGACCCTTACCTGTCCTTCCGCACCCCACTTGGGAGATGGGTGTTTGAACCCCCCTGGGTTTTGTGAATATCTCTAAAGCGAATTTTTGGAGGGTGGATTACGATCGGTTCTATGCGACAAGTGACCACACACAACCAGCCCCAGGTCAGCTCACTCCCTCCAAACATCACCCCCGCCCCACACCACACCCCCGCCCCACACCACACTCCAGCCCGCCTCATCCACCGAGCCGAGCCAAATAGACAGGCCTGACCCTTACCCCCCCCCCCCACTCCCCCAGCCGGTGTAACGCAGCGTCCGGTCAAATCGCTCTACCAGGCGACCCGAGCCGGTGTCATACAGTGTGGGTAGGCTGTGCCGCTTCACTCTCTGGTCATGCGGCACAGCCTACCGGTACCAGGCGGCTGCTGCCAATGCTGAGCCATAGGAACCCGGTGGATAAAGAGTAGGGGACCATCAACCTGTACACGACTGTACAGATCGAGGAACAATTTTGAAAGCATTTAGATGAAGATTGAACCACAGATTCGGATTCAGGACCTCAAGAAACCCCACTAAACACAGACATGCGAGGTCAATGACCTTTGTTGACCTTAGAAATGTCAATATACAATGTAATGTTTCATGTCCTGTCAAAATCTGACATAAGTCACACAGAATAATTTCGTTCTTGTCGATGGGATCGCGTCCAGTTACGCCAGATGTACGATTTTGTCAAAAAGAGTCGGAGGTTTTACCTATTGTGAGGTTATAGCTCGGTGACCTGACATGACCCGAAAATATTTTTTACCGAAAGATTGAGCTGAAAGTTAGCAAGTAGGTAGGCACCCACTAAGCCATGCATATCCATGTGCCAGATTTGGGGTGCTGTTGCACGTGCGCACGTGCAGGGGTCGATTCCAGATCTCGAAGACGGCTGGACCGATTGCGCTCAAATTTGGTACACGGTTAGGGAGCAGTTGGTAGGGTGCCGTGCAAAAGTCAGTTGGGACCCAGTTGGCACGTACGCACATGCAGGGTGCCGCTTCCAGATCTCGAGAACGGCTGGGCCGATTGCGCTCAAATTTGGCACATCACTAGGGACCGGTTAGTAGGTCTTGGGGTGCAGTGCACAAGTTATTTGGTGGTACCCCCTCGCAATTTCGCACGTGCAAGGCCCACCCTCCCGCTCACTCCGCTGGTCGCCCCAAAAGGCGTTTTACTGGTGTGCACGATTACTTTATAAAAATGCTGAAGTGTTGCAAGTGATTGACAAATATTGTCCAAAGCATGCTGCCTTTGTCGGACCAAATTCCGATTTGGGCATAGGACAAAATCGGAATTCTGAAGGTACAAAATCCAATTGGCACCACTCTAACAGATGTGGTAAGGTTGTGATAGGTTTTACCGAACGGAGATATAGACGATCTGCACAACTGACGAGAGAAGCCAACCTCTGTCAACTGGCTGGTGTGCAGCAAGCAGATATTGATATTCTGCAACGGTTATTTTTGTTGTTGTTTTAATCTTTCTTCAATAAGATACCTATGTTAGAGCTGTTGTGCCTATTTGTTTATACACCAAACAACATCGGTGATAGCCAGATAACTATTTCATGGCGTGCAAAGAAAGACTGTTCAAGTTACCCAACGGTCGGGTTATTTGAATACACCGTCACTTGACGGAGAAGCAAGGCTTTACTTCACATTTTTCAAAAAATATGTTCAACTTGAAACTTGATGCACTCTATGGCAATGACTCTTGTGAAGTTGTTCTTAGGAAAATAAAAATTTATTTCATTGGCTTCCACTCGCCAAACCCGCTTTTCCTATAGCTCAATCAAGGGATGAATCACTGGGTGGTTCTTTCGACCCCTCCTCACCCTCCTGCAATTGAAGTTAGCCGTTGGTAAAGACACTAATTCGTGCAGGGGCTCATTTTCACTTGTCCTTTTAATGTAATCGGTGACTTAAGCCAGCCGGCCAAATGAACAAAAATCCATACAAACCCAGGTGATGCCACGGGCCCACGGCCCTCATCCTTGTCAGCGTCCACTCCCTCGGCGGCGGCGGCGGCGGCCCGCCGTGCCGTGCACCGCGGCATGTTACCTCTCGCCGCGCCAGGGGCCGCGGGGCGGGACGCTACCCCCCGCTGCGACAGGCGACCCCTGGGCCTGGGCACCGCCGCGGCGGGCGACGGACGACAATAGCGCAAACAAAGGATGGGGCCGCCAGTCAGCCGGCGTAGTGAATGGGTAAATCCTTACTCGATAACACAGCAGGGACTGCTCCACGAACACGGGCAGGCCGTACGGCAGTAGACATTCGATAGAATAGGCGATTCGGGCGTAGGTCAGCCGGGCGTAGGTCACCCGGGCGTAGACATTCGATGGAGTAGGCGATTCGGGCGTAGGTCAGCCGGGCGTAGGTCACCCGGGCGTAGACATTCGATGGAGTAGGCGATTCGGGCGTAGGTCAGCCGGGCGTAGGTCACCCGGGCGTAGACATTCGATGGAGTAGGCGATTCGGGCGTAGGTCAGCCGGGCGTAGGTCAGCCGGGCGTAGACATTCGATGGAGTAGGCGATTCGGGCGTAGGTTAGCCGGGCGTAGGTCAGCCGGGCGTAGACATTCGATGGAGTAGGCTATTCGGGCGTAGGTCAGCCGGGCGTAGGTCAGCCGGGCGTAGACATTCGATGGAGTAGGCGATTCGGGCGTAGGTCAGCCGGGCGTAGGTCACCCGGGCGTAGACATTCGATGGAATAGGCGATTCGGGCGTAGGTCACCCGGGCTGATCCCATCTGGGGCCGATTCGAGATGGCGCACTAGGAAGCCAGTAGGACTAGGCGGCCAAGTGACACTTGAATGTAGTGACACTAAGCGGTATTTTACACCAATCGGCTAGTGGCTCAGCGCGAACCGAAATCGCATAGTGACGCTTGAAATCAAGTGTTACTAGGGCGGCAGGGCCTTAGTGCGCCAACGCGAATCGGTCCCTGACCTGACCTGACCTTGACCTTGACCTCTGAATGATATTGTATGCAAGGAATATTGTCTTGGTAGCCTAAGAACACGTTTTGGGCAATTAGTCTAGGTCCATGACTCCATTCTTCGGCAACTACGGTGCAAGGCCAATACATACTGTAGAAACTTGCAATTTGTACCCTTGACCTGACCTTGACCTTGACCTCAAACTTTCAATTAAGTACATGTTTCTAGTTGTTCGTGGTGAGATCTTTCGATTGGCGTTTGAATTTTCCAAATCGGACCATTAGTTCGGGGGATAACAGGGGGGAGGGGGTAAAATTTACCCCCCAGCCCCGCACGTTCGGCTGGAGACCCCAGCCCCGCGCGGGTTAAGAACCTTCGTTGCGACCGGTCGTTTTTTTCCACGAGATATTCGCGAAAAACCGAGGGGTCCTCCCGATCCCTATAAGTGTGAAGATTGAGGCACTTCTAAAAGCTGCGAGTGCCCTAACTCGGTAATTGCGGGCCAGATACTTCAAATTGGCTATCTCAATGCAAAACTAACGTAGGTAAAGGAGCTTTCAAAAAGCTTTCAAAAGCGCCTTTCTGCAGGGAAGAAGCTGTGTTTGTTCACGAGTTAATGCACTGATATGTGAAAAAATGTCAAAGCGGGAAACAAAACGCGTTATAACCTTACATTTGGTGACCTCCAGTTACCTCAGCGATGGCCTGATCGAAAATGACCTGCATGACTTTGAAATGTCCTGTAGCGAGCTAGCCATTGCTTTTTCCGCGTCTTCCTAGCTTTTTTTTGTTGCTTTCGGAGATAACCCGGTATGGCCAAATAAACCCCCTCCCCACCATGACGAAGTTTGCTGAGAAGTGGGACCCCCACACGGACGCGGGTTAGGCAATAAAAATAAGCCTATCAGGACACCGCACCTTCCTGGTAATCGGCACATACTACCATGGCCATCTATTTAGTTTATGTACAATGGCCTCCAGCTATACGATTGCCCTGCTCCCTCCCGCGTCTGAGGGCCGCTTACGGCGTTGCGGGCAGGTTTGACACCTACCTCCCAGCCCGTCGACGGCGGTCTTCTGAGCGCGGCCGCCGCCGGCTGTCAGCAGGAGTGTCACGATGACGGCCGCCGCCGCCGTCCGCTTCATGGTGACAGTGCGCCGCCGTCTGCCGCCGCCGCGCCACTTTATACGTGCCCGTGTGACGCGCGGCCGTCACGGGCACAAGGCCACCGCGACGCGCACCTGTCAGCGCGGTCACAGACCTCGCCGTGTCGGGCTCTGCAACAGTGTGACAGGAGACGGAAATCGAAAACCAAATTTTCGGTGAACCGATGCAAAATCAGTAAAACGCCATCTGGGCGAAAAAACGAGCGAGCGAGAGAGTGAGCCCTGCACGTGCGGAAGTGCGAGAGGTTTGTGCATAACACTCAACTGGCTTGTGTACCGAAGTTTCGTGCAACTTTGGCCCATTTTTTGGTTAACCCGCGCCCCACTGGGGTCTGCGTATAACACGCCCTACTGGGGGGGGGGGGGGCTATTCATAGCCCCCCCTCCTAACTCCGAAACTACTGGGCCGATCGTCAAAATTCAAACGGCGTCTGATAGCCCCGGAAAAACTGTCGAACGAAACCTAATTTCATTGACCTCGAGGTCACCGATGACGTCACAGGTCAGGTCAAAGTAAAAATTATTAGCATTTTGGCTTTTTCACGTTTTGGGCTCTGGCCGCCGTCTTACAAGTCAGATCAGGCTCATTTTTGGTTCACACACTCGTGAACGGATGCTCTAGATACTCTGAGGGTACCAAACGTGTACTTTGATTTTCAGGTCAAGGTCAGGTCATCACAGGTCACGAAAATATTATATCATCCGTCGGTCACGTGACACATGTTTTATGGTCCATTTAGGCCAAACATTTCGAATTTGATGTCGTCTGTGTCATTCGAGGTCATTTTGAGTCAAATTTAGCTCAGGTCAGGTCACTTTCAGGTCAAAAAAGGTCAAATTTTGAAGTTATAATTTTTCAACAAAAAAGGTGTCTATTGGATGCAGTTTGAGCTCAGGAACACGATGGTGCTATTTATATTGGCGTACGATGTCAAATTCGTGCTGAAAAATTGATTTGAAAAATTAATAATTGCTAATTTTTTGCAATAACGCGTATAACTTGGCCATTTTTGAAGATATTTAGCTAAAACTTGCTAGACGTAGTCATAATAATGCGTTCTATCACATATATTCCGGTTTTTTCGAAAAGTCAAAAAGTTTTTGAAAAAAATGTAAAAATATAAATTTTGAATTTTATTATATAAAATTTTCGAAATTTTCAAAATTTCAAAAATTCGAGATAGCAGTTTGATAGCGCAGTCTATTCTGAGTCCGCTCATGCAAAGAAATTGGATCTAGCTTAAAACCTAAGCTCTTGGGAGCGATTGCCGTGGTTCAATGTTTTGCGTCGAAATCGGCCGAACATGACGTCACTCTGACGTCATTTCCGGCCGACCTATGGTAGGTACGAAGTTCAAATTTTGACACAAGGTGTCAAATTGATGCAGCCAAAGGTGCTGAAAGTTTGGCGTTGATACGTCAAGCGGTTTGGAAGTTATTGCAGAAAAACGGGAGGGGGGGCTATAAATAGCCCCCCCCAGTGGGGCGCGGGTTAAGCCGCAAAAATTAAGTTATCTGTTCATGTACAGCGCAGCAGGGCCTACTTAGCTTTTCGAAAATGACAAAGTCGTGTGTGCTGCAGCATTGCACAAATCTTTTTTTTTTTAAGCTGCATGTGGCCAATGTTGTTTGATAGTATGGCAGCTTTGGCCCCGCAAAAATATTCGTTTAAAATTTATGGTTTCCGCCTTTTCTGCTCATTTTTGCCGAGCGTATGACAGCATTAGCCATTTAACCGTTAGCCGGTACCCGTTTTTAAAGTCTCAGGTCATTCGGTAACCTCTGAGTTCAGGTCACGTGACCCAAAGCACGCGTTTCCTTTTTCATTAACCCGCGCCGGGCCGGTGCTCAGAGATTCCGCGCCGGGCCGGGATGTGTCTGAACACCCCCCCCCCCCTTCTAAGTCGGCTCATGGGCTATGTAGCGACACGCGGTAAGCGGCAATCGAAAGAACATCCAAAATAAAGACGAAAACACTTCGGTCATTTTTGAGTCAGGTCAAAGGTCAGGTCACCAGAGGTCATCAAAGGTAAAATGTTGACGATTTCAACATTTTGGAAACTGCCGACGGCTAGCTCGGGAACCGATAGGGCCACAGCACCACGGAAAAGCGCATTCGATAGCCCTTTTACAGACCTTTCTGATTAATGTTCTCAGATTTGACCTCAGGTCCACGGCTTAGCCTCCAGAGGGCAAAAACTCCAAAAATAGCCGTTTTTACGAAAAGTGTTTTTCGGCAATAACTTTTGACTCAAAAGAGCTATGACAAAACTTTTGCCAGCATCGTGTTCCTCTCGTCGAGACGCGTCGAATGAATTATAATTTGACCTTGAAAGGTCAACTGGAAAATTTGACCTCCGGTCAAGGTCATATTGCGTATCAGTCGATCCGCAACGTCGAGCCGAACACATCTAAGGCGTTTCTTTCAGTGCTCTAGCACGCCTCTATCAGAAGTTATTAGCGAAAAACTGTTAGATTCTGTTCGTGACCTGAGATGACCTCGGGGACATAACGAGGGGTCATAGGTGCCATTTTCCGGTTCAGTGTGTCAATTGTACCTAGTACCTACGTCTCAATGTTTGAGAGTGTATAGAATAGCGTTCGTGCAAAACAGACGCTTTCAATTTTCTCCCCTTGACTTATAATGGAGAGGCCGCAAAATTGATCTGATTTTAGGTCACCCTCACCGATATCAAAATTCCGAGATATACATTTTAATGATAATGTTGCTTTAATCAATCGCTGAAAGTTTCAAGGCAATCGATCAGTGGGTGTAGCTATGGCGAGCATACTTATTTTTTCTGAGGTGAGGTCACTTGGCGTGACCTGGTGACCTGACCTAAGGCGACCTGGGTCTGAAATTTTCAGAACATGTGCGGAAAAGATGCACGAACAGGTGTACCACGCCGTTTTTTAGATATCTGCGAAAAACCGCAGGGAGGGGTGTTCAAACACACACCCCGGCCCGGCGTGGGTTAATAACTTCGCAAAAAAAAAAAACGGTCGCAGAGCCGCGATCTTAGTATTATCGTGTTTGCCTCGCTCAGACGCGTTGAATGGTGTATTTCTTGTTCGGATGAGGTCAACTTGAGGTGTTGACCTCAGGTCAAGGTCAGGTCAGTGCCCCAGGTCACAAAGCTTGTTGAAGGAGGTCATATTGCAAATCATTCGATTCGGCAGGTCTTCTTGAGTCCATTGGTGGCCTCCCCGACTCGCTAACTCAATTTGGTCGGGAGTTGTTGACGAAAAAACTTATTACCTAAGTGACGTCATAAATGACGTCACATTAGGTCAACAATGGAAAATTTAAGCATGGAACCTTGCAATGAGTAAATGAAATTACGATTCCGACATGCCTGAAATAGTTCGAAATCGTGTCTGGCGCCACAATAGCCGTTTTAATTTTTCCCGTTTACTTATAACTGGTGAGCACGGTTCGTCGGAATTTCGAAAGCTGACGGTGAGGTGATTCCAAAAATGTAGTTTTTATCAAACTCGTTCGATGACCTTTTTCAAAAATTGCCTATTTTTTATTCAACGGGCTGTCTCGGACATTCTTGAAATCATGGGCATGTTTTTTCGTGTCCTAGTGAAAGCTGAAGGCGCCGAAAGAACAATATGTAGCCAAAAATGCTCTCAAATATAAATATCCGTCTCCCACAGCCGACAAAAAGGCGCACTCTGGCACAGCTCAGTCACGATGAACTAAAGTCAGCCACAGAGAAGCGCGTAATGACCCTTATCGACTCGCAGACCCGGCACTCCCGGCCCGCCCAACCGACCGGCGACCACGGAAGGAACGTTCGGCTCTCGTTCCACCTACAAACCAAGTGTCATATTTGCTAGTTTAACGGTCCACATCGCCATCAAAGCTATTCAAGATACCTGTGAAGAAAATTCATTGTTTTGCTAGATTTACAACATGCTTTAAAGGGACCCTCCCACCTTCAAAAAAGTTAATGAATAGGCATAAAAGTGATGTAGCGTGAATCACAAAGAGCGAAAATGAACATCTACCAAATTTTACCGGAAAATATTCACCCGTTTTCGAGATATAAGACTTTTATTTTTGTTTACTTTTTGGGAACTCCGCTGTTTCTATGACGTCACATAAAGGTTTTCTTTACGTCGGCATTTGGAAGCAATAGTTTGGTATCAAAGTGCGACAAATATTGCGCGAATGATGCGTTTATCTTAGGGACCGTGTATATCACACCACGGTGAGATTTACACAATACCGGCCATTTGTGTAAATCACACCCACCCCGGTGTGATATACACAATTTTGACCGACTGTGTAAATCACACTCCGAGAGTGTGATTTACGCGAGATGCCACACCAGTGTGTATTTCACACCATCTTCACCACATTAGGTACCATAGAGATGGCCGATCGAATCAGCTGACCGCCTGGCCTAGTGGTGAAGGTGCTTGCACCACGATACGGAGGTTGCGGGTTCGAGTCCCGTCGGCGCCGGTGCTTTTTCCCGCATTTTCGCTTTTCCTTGGTAGCGGTGGGTTCGCTGCCGGCCGACAAGTTTAAAAGCACCAATACAATATGGAAAGCGACGTCTGAATGCTCGTGGCGAAGCGGTGCAGTGCCGAAGGCAATGCCTTAGGAGAGATTACAGGCAATGGTAAGTCAAATATTTTTAGGTTAACCCTCGCCCTGGCAGGGCATTTTTCATAACACGGCCTGGCAGGGGGGGGGGGGGGTCGATGCGACCCCCCCTCGCGATTGGCTCCTATGGCACCTAGAAACACCAAATTTGGTAGGTAGGTGGCCCCCCCGGAGTTCTCGCCCCTGTGCAAATTTGGTTGCTCTAGGTCAATATTTAGGGTGGTTTTGGGGGGTATAAATGTAAAAATTTCGCTAAAAACAGGTCAAAAGTTTTTCGCTTATAACTTTTGATCTAATTAAGATAGAGCAAAAAGAAAAGCACCAGTGAACTCAGCACGTCAAGACGCGTCGAATGATATACTTTTTAGCT